GCAAGAGACCCCACACTTGGGGACCAGACCATGAGCCTGGTTTGTTTCAAAAGACCAAGAGGCCAAAAACAATAGCTACGTGACCATCATTGGACTCAGACCCATGACCCTGAGAGTTGATAAATTCCATAATCATTCTTGCTCTAAACTTACGATCCTCTGAATTAAGGCAGCCAAACTCCGCTCCCTGTACTCTGTTCTCACAGGGAATATGGTTCCCATTTATTCCTGTGCATTGGGCCACATCATCTGACTCACTTCTTGAGTTCTCTTTGTCTACTCTTGGCAGTCTTGGAGTCATGTTGAAGGATCCCATTACCTCTGCAGTTTGGGGACATCTCTTTCTCTCAGTTGTAGTAACCAGGTGTAAGCTTGTTCTAAGGTTACTGGTGTTGACATGGCTGGCAGTAAGCCCTACTATGGCTCACATAACTTCAGTAGCCCTTTGTACTTAATCCATGAAATTCTCCAGTTCTTTATAGGTCTTCATTAAGTTTCCCACAGTCTAAGTCTTAATTAAATTTCACCACATTCTGTGGAATGGTCACTATTATTATTCTCTGTTTAAGATGGTCTAATGAAGACACACAAAGGAAAAAATAACTCTCCCAAAGTCAGTCAGTCACTCAAAATAAGTTACCAGTCAGAAATCTAAAATTGGCTTAGGCCCAGGGATAGGCTTCATTCTCTAGTCCAGGAGTTCTTAACTTGGGTCCATAAACTTAGTGGTTTTTTTTAAAAAATAATATATTTTAATAACTGCATTCCATTAAAATTGGTTTCCTTTGTAATACAAAATAATGTAAAAACATTATTCTGAGAAGGGAATCTATAATCTCCACTGCACTGCTAAAGAGGCCCATGACCCAAAACAGGTGAAGAATCCCTGCTCTAATATGGTATAAATATATGTTGACTGACTTTGGTCCCTCATTTGTCTCCATTAATTTTTGCAAAGATGAGATTGATTCATTTGCAGCTTCCACAATTAATCTGGATTTCTCAGTGTTTTTTATCTTCAATTCAGCAAATATTGATTATATATCTCTGGGCTGGGCACAATGCAGCTAGGTGGCAGAGTAGATAGAGCACTGAGCCTCCAGTCAAGAAGTCATTGTCATCCAGTTGTTTCAGGTGTGTCTGACTCATCATGAACCCGTTTGAGGTTTTCTTGGCAAAGATACTGGACCAGTTTGCCATTTCCTTCTCCAGCTCATTTTACAAATGAGAAACTGAGACAAGCAGGGTTAAGTGACTTGTCCAAGGTCACATAGCTAGTAAGTGTTTGAAGCTGAATTTGAACTCAGGAAGGTGAGTTTTTCTGACTTCAGGCCCTGTATTCAATCCAATGCACCACACAGCTGCCCCAGAATCAAGAAGACCTGAATTCAAATCCAACCTCAGATACTTACTAGTTGTGTGATCCTGACCAAGTCATTTAACCTGTTTACCTCAATTTCCTCATTTGGAAAATGGTGCTGATAAAAGCACCCACCTCACTGGGTTGTCATAAGGATCAAATGAGATAATATTTGTAAAGTATTTCATACAGTACCAGGCACATAATAGATGCTTAATCAATACTTATTCCTTTCCCCCCTCTACAGATTCAAGGAGAGCTTGAAATTTCAAAGATGCAGAACTGACAATCCCCTGAAAACAGCAAAAATGTAGAGCCAGATTCTATGCTTAGGGATATCAGCTGGGTTACCTCTCAAGCCTCAGAAGCAACACCCCTGTGCTACAGGGCAAAATTGATTTGCTTTCATTTTGAGATATAAAGGAAAGATTGATAATCACCACAGTGCTAACACTGGATTTTTTTTTTCAACAACATGAATGAAAGGGAGATTTAATGGAGGGAGGAAAAATAGCCCTTTCACAAATCCTGGTTGAAAATTCTGGATTGCCTCCCTCTCTTCCCTTAAGCCGTACTGCTCTCAACCTGCCAATTGCAGATTTAGCCTTCAACTACATGTTTCTCATCCCTGGATGCAATTATCTCAATCCCTTCACTTCCCTCCATTTCATCTGGGATCATTCTAGGAAAATCTCCAGCTTCCAGTTAACAGGTGGTGGGTAGGAGGAAGCTGAGATGTAGGACACATTCCCAGGACCTTTGCATCTCAATTCAAGAGCCTCTGTTAACTAACTCCACTTTCAGGTGGCCATTGTTGACGACTTAAGCAAGGAGAGTATATCATGTGGAATTGGTTTTCATGGGCTCAATTTCATGGTCTAACATCGACCAAGGGGCAGAATTTTTCAAAACAACCATTACATCCTCCTTGTAAACACTGCAGTTTGACATAAAGCATTCTTGCTGTTTATGTAGAAGTACCCCTATGCATACTCGTAAATTCGTGAGTACCTCTGTGTGTGTGTGTGGTGTGTGTGTGTGTGGTGCTGGTGTTGTTATTCAGTCTTTTCAATCACATCCAACTCTTTGTGAGCTCATTTGGGTTTTTTTTTTTGGCAAAGGTACCATTGCCATTTCCTTCTCTAGCTCATTTTACAGATGAGAAAACTAAGGCAAACAGGGTTAAGTAACTTGCCAAGGGTCACCCAGCTAGGAAGTATCTGAGACTGGGCTTGAATTCATCCTCACTTCAAGCCTGGTGCTCTATCCATTGCATCACCTAGCTACCCATAAACATCTTCATAGTTTAGGACTTGAACAAATGTTGGGTAGGATGGGCAGGAATGAGTGGGGTGGTTTTTTTTTTTAGGCAATTGGGGTTAAGTGACTTGCCCAGGGTCACACAGCTAGTAAGTGTCCAGTGTTTGGTCTGAGGCTGGATTTGAACCCAGGTCTTCCTTACTTCAAGGCTGGTGCTCTATCCACTGTGGCACCTAGCTGCCTCCCCCTTTATTCTATAAAACTGTGCATACTCTTTGATCCAGCAATACCACTACTAGGTCTGTATCCCAAAGAGATCATAAAAAAGGCAAAAGGACCCCACATGCACAAAAATATTTATAGCAACTCTTTTTGTGGTGGCAAAGAATTGGAAATTGAAGGGATGCCCATAAATTGGGGAATGGCTAAACAAGTTGTGGTATATGAATCTAATGGAACACTATTTTGCTATAAGAAATGATAAACAGGTGGATTTCAGAAAAAACTTAGAAAGACTTGCATGAACTGATGTTGAGTGAAGTGAGCAGAACCAGGAGAACCCTGTACACAGTAACAGCAACATTGTGAGATGGATCAACTTTGGTAGACTTAGCCCTTCTCAGCAATACAATGATCCAAGACAATTCCAAAAGACTCATGAGGGAAAATGCTGCCCACACCCAGAGAAAGAACTATGGAGGCTGAATGCAGATTAAAACATACTATTGTCACTTTTTTGTTTTTTCTTTCTTGTGGTTTCTCCCTTTTGTTTTGATTCTTCTTTCACAACATGACTAATGTGGAAATATGTTCAACATGATTGTACATGTATAACCTATATCAGAATGCTTGCTATCTCGGGGAGGGGAGGGAAGGAGGGAGAAAAATTTGGGACTCAAAATCTTATAAAAATGAACGTTGGAAAAAAAATAAAATGGATTAAGCCAATCCAAAAAAAAAAAAGAAAAACAAAGAAAGAAATACTTCTTGATATTGATTGGATATTGGATCAAAGATTTAGAGATGGGAGGAACCTTAGAGGTCATCTAATGCAGCCCCCTTTTACAGATGAAGAAACTACAGCAGAGTGGAAATTAGCTGTCAGTCAATAAACATTTATTAAGTGCTTACAGTGTGCCAGCTCAGAGAATTCAAAGAAAAGCAAAAATGGGGTCCCTGCTTTCAAGGAGTTCACATTCTAATCAATCAAAAAGCATTTAAGAGTGTCTTACTCCCCCCCCCTTCCAGAGGTTGGAAGTCCACAAGTGTTGTGCATTGCATATATTTTCAGAGTTTTTCAATGTATTGATCAGTTATGCTGCTTTTTTTCTTCTTCTATTTCTTCTTTTTTTTAATGCTATGGGATGGCTCTCTGAGATGGGGAAGGAGAGGGATACTTGGGGAAACTATGATAATGTAAAACACTCAAGACACCAATGAAAACTTTTTTGGGAGGGGGCTAGGCAATGAGGTTAAGTGACTTGCCCAGGGTCACACAGCACTACTATGTCAAGTGTCTGAGGTCAGATTTGAGCTCAGGTGCTCCTGACTCCAGGGCCAGTGCTCTAACTACTGCTCTACCTAGCTGCCCCCAAATCCTGTCTCTTTCCACAGCACCCCTCATTTATCTACTTCCCACCTTCCAACATTATAGGTAAATCATATAAAGGCGATTAAAGCAACCAAACTATGTATTTTTTGTGTTACATCTTGCTTTTTCTGGCTAAAGGGTGAGAAAATAATCTCTAAAGATTAAATTTCTCCAAACTGCCCTATCCCCAAATTGCTATCCAATAGCAAAGAAAAATCAGTAGGCTGGATGCTTTTGCTATAATATTCATAAAAGCTACATGGTATGTTTTACCTGTGAGGTTAGAAAGATCAATTCAATTAGAGAGGTGTCAGGGAGGAAAAAAAAGTCCTATCAGTTTCATTGTTCATGAACTCATTTAACCTATAGAGCAGAGAGAAATACTATCTTGGGGAAACAGTTGAGGGCCAAGTAATCTGGCCAAACCTGCAGGGCTTGAAAAAAGGGAATTATAAGAGTAAAGGAATAATTCACTTTTAGGGGACCTGGACTTTAAGCGTCAGATCCAGATCTGTCTCTTCCAGAATTCAGCTCCCTGATCAATTTTCCCAACGCTGGTTTTTGCTAAAATCTCTGGCCCCTGTGGTAAAGCATTTATCCCAAGATAGTTTCTGTGGCTCCCCTCCCTTCTCTCACTCCCCCCCCCATTCCCACCGCAATGGTATAGTCCGCTGCTGATTGTAAACCAGAGGCGTTGAACAGTGACAGGGGTTCAGACGCGCGGCTTAGTAGCTGTAGCCGAGGAGAGGTCGATGGGATGATCTGTGATGTTCTTTCCTTCGCAAACAGGGGCAGATCGAGGTGGAAAGTGAAACAGTCTTCAAGTTAGCAGCGCTCATTTTGCAGGTAAGAATTTTCCTCTTGCTTGGTATCTCTTGCCTGTCCCTCTACCCCGCCCCCTCCACTCTTGCTTCCTGCAACTAAAATTTGCGCAAATCTTAGAAATTAATAAAGTTTTAGCCTTTTGCTTGCAATCTGGAAATCGAGCATATCCTAAAAGTTGGGTTTTTGAGTCCTTTGCTTTATTATGAAGCATCTTAGTGATCAGTTTGCCAAATTAAAAGTGTGGGTCCCTGGTTTTAGCATTGAGCATTGCCAGGGTACTAGTGGGGGTGTCGTGTGTTTGTGTGTGTATGTGTGTGTGTGTGTGTGTGTGTGTCTTTTAAATACAAACGTAAATGTACAAGCTTAATCTCCCCAGGGGAACTAAATTAAAACTAAGCAAACTCTTGGAAAAGAACTTCTAAATTAATTTTGTTGGGCTTTTGGTTTTCACGGTTGTTAGTTCGTAAGTACAGGGCTGACAGTTAATTGAAATAGTCACCTTTGCCGATCTTTTGAGTCGGAGTAACCGATTGCTCTTTAACCCTTGAAGATTCTATTAAAATATAGATCTGTTTTCTTGCTGCATTAGGAATTAGAGACATACTATGTGTTTGGTGCTTGGATCCCAGGAGCTAGTGATGTCTGTTCCCACCATCACTTGCATGCAAATGCATTTAATCACCGGGGCTTTGAGAAATGAGACTTAATTATTAGTGCTTTTTCACAAATTCTTGTCTCTCCATTTAACAATAACAAAACCTGGCTGTCTTTCTGTGCCAGATCCTCCTCCCTCGGAGTACAGCCGGAAGACGCTCTCTTGTTCGAAAGCATGCATGCTTCCCCAGGTCCTAACCTTTTACAAACTCAGGACTGGAGGCTGTGTTGTTAGGGTATGGAAAGTAGTACTCCTGGGGTGGGGGGATGGGGAGAATGGGCAGAAATAACCAGCATTATTACTCTGATCTATCTGATGTTATACTTAACATATGAAGTAGAAGGAATCATTTTAATTTTGTTTTCTCTCTTCCCCCCCACCTCCCCACCCCCTTGCAGGAAGCCAAAGGGGACTATACCAGGTAATGTCTCTCTTTTCTTTGCCAACCTACACTTTACCGAGGTAGGGGTTTGCTTGTGGAAGTTTGCATATATTTCTGCACTGTTTATCCCCAACCTTTATATTTGCTCTTGGTAACTAGAAAAAGCTATCTGGGGAGGGAAGAGTTGGGAAGGGTTGTCTATAATCAGGAATAATGGTAAGGGCAAAATAAAAAAGATATCAGTAAAAATTTTAATTTTTTAAAAAAAGTTAATGTGCAGAAGACTCTCTTGTGGGCAATGAACAAGCAGAATCAGTTAGAAGGCAGATTTCCATCGTAGACCAGAGGCACAGGATAATCTCATGAATTCCAATAGACAGAAATCTGGGCTTCCTGTGACTGAAGTGGGAAGTTCTGTGAAGGCTTGAGCTGCTCTGGTTGTTTTTCAAACCTAGGTGGCAGTTCATCGCAATCAGAGGGTCCTTCTAGGTAGAGCCTAAAACAGAATGGAAGGGCTTGGACTACTGTGGCTTAAAAAAAGGCAACCCTTTAACAATCCAGCCTTTGAGAAGTCTTAATGTATGCACTGTAAGATAAAGTTCCCCCAGCTGCTTGGGAGTAGATCTGTCGCTGCTTTCTCTCACAGCTGCCCGGCGGGGGCCTCGCCCTTCATACACTTGACCTGACAGTTGTATTGTTCCCTGGTGAGAGACTGTGAGGGACCCGGCCCTCCATTGCCTGTGGCTGCATAATCAGTCTCTGTTTAGCCCGGGAATTTATTTTCTACCTGTAGAGCTGCTTTTCAGCTACTAAAGCAGTAGCTGAAAGGGGAAAACTGTTGAGAGCCTGGAGGGAAACCCTTCAATTAGAACCAACTCTCACTGACCAGAGACAAATTTCAGCAATTGTCCCAGGACACGTTAATGTTTTACTACTCACAGCCTTTCCACACTGACTATTTTTGTCTGCCTCCCAAAAGTGTACTTTGAAATTCAGATGACTCAAGTAACTGATAACAGAATTAATGGCTTCCAAGTTCCAAGAGGTCAGCCATGTCCTTGGGAAACAGTGTGGGGCAGTAGAAAAGAATTGGGTTTGCAGTTACATACAAATAGGTGGTCCAGTTCTTGACTTAAATCAGGAAATTTGTTGTTCAGTCCTTCTGGCATGTCTGACTCTACCTGGCAAGGCACTGGAGTGGTTTGCCATTTCTTTCTCCAGCTCACTTTACAGATAAGGAAACTGAGGCAGAGTTAAGTGACTTGCTCAAGGCCACACAGCTAGTAAGTATCTGAGGCCAGATTTGAACTCACAAAGATGAATCTTCCTGACACCAGGCCCTGTGCTGTACCTACTTCGACACCTAGCAGAATTCAAAACCTGCCTTATAAACTTTGGAGCTGGTGCAACCTCTCAGCCTTGGTTTCCTCATCTGTAAAAGGGCTTTTATAATCACACCTGTCTCAGAGTTATGAGGTTCAAATGAGATACCATACATGAAGTGCTTTGCAAATTATAAAGTGAGGTAGAAACACATTATTTTTGTTATTAGTTACAACTAGCTTAGTACATATCTGCCACTTAGAACATATCTCATTTTTGTCGTGGTACCTCTAGTTTTTGGCACATATTAGCACTTGAGTAGACTATTGGTGGCAAGCAAATTACTGGACCTCCCTGGGCTTGAGTTTCTTCAAATGTAAAATGAGAAGGTTGTAAGATAGGGATGGTATCTTCCAGCGTGTGGGTCTAAATCTATGAACCTACATTTCATTTCAGAAGCTTTAGTACTGGTTTTATTAAACTTAATTTAATAGAGCTGAGAACAGACTTTGACATGGTCTGGTTTGGGGGTTTCTTTTTGAAAGAGTGAGGAGAAAGTAAGGAATACTTGACCACCTTAAATTCAAGCCCTGACTATCTATTGTTGTGTGACCTTGCACAGGTCACTTAGCCTCTGGGCTTTTCTTTCATTCTCTTATTCACTGATTGATCTATAAAATGCTGAGGTTGGGCTAGATCTGGAGTAAACCTTTTTTGTGAGATGAACAATGCTTTTAAAGGCACAAAATACCTAGGATTCCAAAAGAAACCAATTATATTGAAATACAGTTAATTTTTTTAAAGGCTCATTGACTCCATGAAATAAAGTATGCCCATTTTAGATTTTTGACTATGTCATGATTACTAAACAACACTTCATCTCAGCCCTCCCCCTTCTCCAATCCCATAGATAGGATTTTCAAACTAAGAGGTGGCAGATTTGGTCAATGGGTGAAAGACTTTCTGCCAAGGCCAGGAGACTGAGTTTCTGGGAAGCTAAGGATTTGGACAAGGGCTTATTTGCCTTCAGTTCTGTCTGGGTCAGCTTCCAATCAGAAATCCATGCCTTCAGCACCTTATTAACTCTTGTCTTTCCTTGGTGCTGGCACATGCTACCTTGTCATACCTCTCCTTAATCAATTAGTGTGACTGTCTCCATTTAAAAAAAATGCAAAATGATTTCAAACAGTAATTCTAGTTCTTGAAGGTTGATGCATCAGCGTGGGAAAAGATTTCCATGGTCCTGTGCAAATCTTCGGGTGCTTAATAAATGCTTTTATTGTATGAACGAAAGGGGGACAAAGGCAAAAAAAAAGCCAGTAATTAAAAAATGTTTTTATTGTTGCCTGGTTCACTTTAGCCTCTATGTAACTATATTCTTTCTGTCTTTGATTTTTCTAAAAGTATTTTCAACTCAACAAATGTTAATTAACCCTTACAAGGTGCTTAGCATAATGTTAAGGACTGGAAAAGGAAGGAGGAGGAGTTATTTAAAGACTAGCTTAGGACTTCACCCTGTCTTTAGTTAGATAATAAGACTTACCCAATAGCAGGGCACCACAAGATAATATTATATGTGATCATAATGAAAATTCCAAAACATATTGATAATGAGATCTGTGGACAAGCAGGAAAGGAAGAGCATAACACTGTATGGCTTGGAAAGTTTCACAGAGGAGTGGGATGTGAGATTGATTTTGAAAAATAATCATGGTGCCACTGGACTCAATACAGAGTGGAATTCTTAACCCTGTTTGTGCCCCTCTGGCAGACCAGTAAAACCTCTGGTGACTTTCTCAGAAAAAAAAAGTTTTAAAAGCATAAAATAAAATACATTTTACAGGATAGAATATGTAATACAAAGGATTATCAAGGAAAACAATTGTAGTGAAATACATTATTCTATTACATTACTAAAATCTATTAAATATAAATTAAAATGTATTAAAATATTTTTTTAAAAAAACCAAATCCATGGACCCTAGGTTGAGAACAGGAGTAAGGATAAGGGGAGGTGACATCATGACCATTTTCCAATTCTCATTGGTAGTGATCCATCTTTATTTGGGAGGAATTGTCAGCATTAGGTCAGGATGTAACTTCAGAGGTCGTGTAGTCCTGTCTCCTCTTTTTTTTTTTCTTTTTGGTGAGCCCAGGGTCACACGGGTAGTAAGTGTCAAGTGTCTGAGGCCACATTTGAACTCAGGTCCTCCTGACTCCAGGAGCTCTGTCTACTCTGTCTCTCATTTTACTATTGAGGAAACTGCAAACCAGAGAGGTCAAGTCATCTATGTCTTCTTAGAACTACGGTTTGGAGGTTTTGTTGTTCCAGATGTTCCCTGCTGGGATTTTTAGAAACGCCCTCCCCCAAAGCAGATAAATGACTTCTCTGGAATTTTTAGTCTTAGAGCCTTAGTTGCCAGGAGCCCTGAGAAGGTTAAGGGATGTGCCTAGGGGTTACTCAGCCAGAACTGGTCAGCGATAGCACTTAAACCAGTTTGTGATTGCAAGGCTGACCCAGGCCACCGCTCCTGACAATTTACTGCAGTGAAGTCAAGAACCTAAAAGATCACTTCATATCACTCCTTCCCTGCTAGGCTGTCTGAGAGCCCATTCCCCACCCCCCACCCAGTTAACTTTTCCACCATGGCAATCCAATTATACTGGATAGAAGTTAATTAAATTGCTGGAAGGACGACTTCCATTTTCTTTAAACAACTGACAGCTGGGATTTCCAAGTTAGCCACGGAGCTTCAGAGATAACTACTGACCGATGGGAGTAACATAACACAGACAAATGGAGGGAATTCCTGGAAGCTGACACATCTCTGAGACAAGGGTTTATCTTCAAACCCTTAACAAAGGAGTCAGTGAAAAGAGAGGGTTTAAAAAATATACCCTTGAAGACAGAATTTGCTGCCTGACTCTAGGGGGGGTTTCCCCCTTCATTTCTACTTGTAATGAGGGAGGTGGCAATTTTTAAAGGAAGTTAACACCTGGCTTCAAATTGCTGGGGAGGCCCCCAGAAGTTCCTAACTTCTACTGTTTTTTCCTGGGCTCTGGTAATTTCCCGTGAGAATAGTAAAGCTTTGGGTGTTGAGGAAGTTAGTTTATATGGAAGAAGTAGGGGCTTTGAGGGTTGTACTTCAAAGCAGGGGAATTACTGATTGGGGTGCATCTGGAAGTCTAATTCCACGCACAATCTGAAAGGGAAGACTGAAAATTATCACCATTTCTTTAGGGTTCAGAATGTGTTTTCCTTGGTAGCGTCAAGCAAAAAGAATAAAGATGCTGCAATTTAATAGGAATTGAAGTTTTCAGTCCCATCTCTGATCAGGGTAGAAATCCATCCATATATGGCGTGTGCATAAATATTCTACAAATGACCACATTAGTCTTTTCCTTGAGTCCATAATGCCATTTAAAAAATCATATGGCATACTAAGAGGTTAGCTTAATAGCAAAGATCATAAATCATAAATCCCAGCTGTATTGCATTGGCATATTGTTATGACTGCCTTCTGTCAGGGTGGTCACTGAATGCCATGCTACAAAACAGACCCCCCCCCATATTTTATTGTAAAAAAAAATGACTTGATGCTTTTCTTCTCCCTCCTCTCAATATTGTTTTTACTTGGGTAGCTGGATGGTCGGGCAGTTCTGCGTTCAAATCCTTCTTCCAACATTTACATTTACCAGCCCCTGTAATCTGGGGC